CCCCAAAACCCCAAAACCCCATCCTATCAAACTCAATTAAAATAAAATCTTAATCAAAAGTTAAAAGTAATCTAAGTATGTATTAAGCAAATCAGTTAAGTTCTTCTTTATAAGAAAATAAAGAATGATTGTCATATACTTTATGCTTTTTGGTAAATGAGTAGTTAAGTTTTGATAACTGTTTCCTTAATCTATTTTTTGGCGATTCATCCAATATCACGATTTATTAATCTATTTTAAAGCCTTCAAAAAGCTTAGCAGGAATATACTTCACTATCAATCCCAAAATAAATTTAATTAATCCTATTCCAAAGCAAATTGCATGCTCTTAAAGAGTTAATTACTTGCATTTAAAGTACTAATCAAACATGTGTACTGATCCCAATTGGAAAGCCATAACAAAAATAAAGATATAGAAATAAATTTGTTTGTTTCTCATCTAAAATAGCTTAAACCTATCACTATTATTTACTGATCTCAAGCTAATCATATTGAACAAGAGCATGAAAACATAAATATCAAATATCAAAGAGCATTGGTTCCTCAAAGTAAATACTTCATCCCTTAAAATGTAGCTGATAAACTCCGGATATACAATAATAACTGTAAAGATAAGAATCTCGATAATTGAGGTTAAAATAACATTTCTCCACATGTATGGATTAACAATTTGCTCATTCCTTGATTAAGGTTTACCCTTAACTATATCTTCGCTAGGAGCTTCTGAAACTAAAAATAAAGGTGCAAGAATGCTACTGATAATAAAAATCCAGCATAGTTAGAAAAAATTAAATGGAGATCTTCCTGTTGTTAAACTTGTAATAGTTAGCAACCCAGTGATTGTAATAGTTGTTGTCATAGTGTACTAAATGTATCGTCTAACATTTCTGTAAATATTTCTGCCATATTTAATTGAGGAGACTAATGAACTGAAGTTGTCGTTTAGAATTATCATATCTGAGGCATCTTTAGCGATATCTGTTCCATTTTTATTGAGTGCAAAGCCTACATTAGCTTATTAAAGCGCCTCTGAATCACTTGAAATTCCTCCAGTAATGGCTACTACAAAACCCTCGTTCTTTAGACCTGTAGTTAGCATATATTTGTCAATGGGAGAAGATCTAGCTAAGACTCTAAGTTCCTTACTAATCTCTCTAAATGCATGCACATCATTAACAACCTCTTTTGTTATACCTGCCATGATCTCTTATCTTAGTCCACCAATATGTTTTCTGAATTATGGGCCCGTGAGACATCTGTACCTACTTGAGTTACTTTTATTTTTTATTTCACCGACAAGTCCCCCGCTTGGAATAATTCCAGCTTCTTTTGCAACTGCTATTGCAGTATCAATATTATCTCCAGTAACCATTCTTACAGTTACATGAGCTTATTAGCACTTTTAAACTGCTGATTAGATCCCTTATCTAAGTGGATCTTTGAGCCCAATAATCGCTAGTAATATTAAACCTTAATCCAGTTTCAAGTCCTATTTTGGGAGTCTTTTCTTTGCCTTTCTATACTTCATAATTTACTCAATTTGATAATTCTAGTCATTATCTATTTACCCTAATTCCTCCTCGATTTCATTTCTCATTAGCTCATTTTCTTCCATATTAGCCCTCTCATTCATAAGCTAGTCCTTTAAAATTAGTCTTTGATATTCGTCAAAGCTTATATCCTTATAGCCAATCGCAATAGTTCTTAATCCTCCTTATGTTAATTGCTTAATTACATTGTCCTTTATTTTTTCTCTCTTACTTAAATCTAGATATACAAGTTCATTTCTTTTGTCAAGATACTAAGAGCAATCAATATTAATAAGATTTTCAGTTGCTCCTTTGGAAAAAATTCTAATTGTCTATCCAGGGACAAGCTCAAGAGCTACCGTCATCTTTTTAGATTCTGGGTTGAAAGGGATCTGCTTAATTACCTTATACTTTTACTTAAGGTCATTGTAAGATCTTTCTTTTCTTCTAAGCCTATTCAAATTATTATTAACAAATGCCAGCAAACCACATTCAGTTTGATTTCCTATTCTCTGTTCTTCTCCTGATTTATTATCAATTAATATATGCGAGTTAGAGTTATAGGAAAGACACTAAAGAATAAGGTCTTATGTCTTTATTTAAAGTTCGTTCAGATTTTTATTAAGCTTGCCCTCAGAGAATATTTAAGTCACATTCATAATGCTTTCTGTTATTACTCCTGTTTTATCTGTAAGAATCTCATTAACACTACCCATAGTTTCAAGTGCTTCGACACTTTTAATGATGCAATTATCTTGTTTCATTAAATCTACTGAGAAAGCTAAAATAGTATGCACTATTGAGGGTAAGTTTTCAGGTAAAGTTATCAACAGTAAAGCAAGTATGATTAGAATATAATTCACTATATCAATGGCAAAAAGACCACTAAATATTTCCTGCTTGTTAATAACTCTCTCTATTATATTAATAGTTACAAATCCAGCTAATATAATGCAAGAACCATAAATGGAGAATTTACTAATATAATTGACAATGCATTGAAGTTTCATTTAAAGAGGGGTATCAATATCAATATCAGAGAATACCTAATTAAATTTTCATAACTCAAAATCAAATTTACCTCTTCTTGCTCATCAGAATCATTTTGAGATTGATCAACCTAACAAACAATAGCCAAACATTATCCAGTAATCAATGAGGAACCCTTAATTAAAATAGGATCGTTTTCTACTGATTTTTCAATGATTTAATTTTCCTCAATCCCTATCTTTTCCTTTGCTCTAATATCATCTCCTTCAATAATTAAGCAGTTAGCAAATATTTTATCACCTAGTTTGAGATACACAACATCGCCAACTAATAAATCATAGATGCTGATTGATTTAGTTTCACCTGATCTCAAAGTTAAAACTTATCGATTATTCCTTTAAATAGCTATGTTCAAGAATTACCTTTGTTTAAAATACTCAACAGCAGAAAGAGTCGCTATGATAATAATTGTGGTTATAACCATAATCATTCCTTTCCTTTAAAGATTAGCCTAATTATCAAGATTAGCTTCTAAGGTCTCAAGAACCACAGCCATAAATAGGATTAGTAGAAGAGTTATATTCTGAAACTATGAGAAGATCTAAATCATTAAATGTAAGAAGTGTAAATTCACTTACGATTCTTAAAATTGAGATATTTAGAAAATTAGCATGTTTATTTTCACCAAAGGCACTCTTTCTATGAATCATTTCTTTCAAATCTCTGTCATTTATTCCCAGCTAATAATTACAATTATAGTATATTGATATATTACGAATTAGGATGAGTTGAGCGATCTGATAATATTCTTGACGCCCCCATAAAACTATAGTTATTCAAGATGTTGTTAGTAATTTTCATCAGTCTCGACTAATCTCTCTCTTTTATTGATTTGAATGTTTATATAGTGTTAAAATATACTCCTATTGAAAAATAAAAGTGAAATATATTTACCTGATCTGTGTAGGGTTCATTTTAAAGACTGGTGATTTACTAATAAAGGGTTCACTCAGATCTGAATGATCCATTTTATTTTCATACATCTAAATTAAATAATTTATTTTAACAGCTAATAGAAAATAAGGCTTAATTGATTATCAATAATTCTATTAAATTCAGATCTTTGGGGTTTTGGGGTTTTGGGGTTTTGGGG